GAAAAAACCTGGGGCCACTACTGTTCATAATGGGATCTGTTGACTGCAGTTCTGTAGACATACACTCAAGGTCCAATCATTTGGCCATGCGGATCAGCTGTTCTGAGTATAATTTTAGGTAGAATCATAGTCGTAGAATCATAGAGTTGGAAGGGGCCATACAGACCATCTAATCCAATCCCCTGCCCAATGCAGGACAAGCCTAAAGCATCTCTGACAAATATTTGTCCTGCCTCTTCTTGAAAGCTGTCAGTGAAGGGGAGCTCACCACCTCCCTAGGCAGCTGATTCCAACTTTGAACAACTCTGACCGTGAAAAAGTTCTTCCTAATATCCAACCAATACCTTTCTGCATGTAATTTAAACCCGCTGCTTCGGGTCCTATCCTCTGCTGCCAACTGGAAAAAGCTCCTTGCCCTCCTCCAAATGACAGCCTTTCAAATATTTAAAGAGAGCAATCATGTCCCCCCTCAATCTCCTCTTCTGCAAACTAAACATTTCCAGGGCCCTTAGCCTTTCCTCGTAGGGCTCAGACCCCTGATCATCCTCGTAACTCTCGTCTGCATCCACTCGATTTTGTCCACATCCTTTTTGAAGTGAGGTCTCCAGAACTGCACACAGTACTCAAGGTGCGGCCTGACCAAGGCAGTATACAGAGGGGCTATGGCTATGACCTCCTGCTATTTCAATTCTATGGCCCTTTTAATACAACCCAAGACTGAATTTGCCTTTTTTACCACTGCATCACACTGCTCATATTTAGTTTACAGTCCACTCTTACCCCAAGATCTCTTTCACATACACTACTCCACAGAAATGTATCCCACAGCCAGTATTTGTGCTTGACATTTTTGTGGCCCAGATGTAATACTATGCATTTATCTTTGTTGAATTGCATCCTGTTCACAACTGCCCACTTCTCCTGAGTATTCAGGTCTTATTGAATTTTAACTCTATCTTCTTGGGTGTTTGCTACTCCTCCCAATTTGGTATCATCAGCAAATTTAATGAGTAGCCCTTCTGCTTCAGTTGGAGAGGGTGCTGAAGAGTCTCCAACAGTGTCATAAGGTGATGGGAATGAGGCGTTCTGAGACTTGACATCTGACTCTGGTTCCATATGTTCTGGTTCTGACAGAAGAGATGCAGAGTCCCCCATGGAAATATGGCATGGTGCTTGTTTGTCTTTGGACCGTTGATGGTCCTGAAGATTAAAGGTGGGCCATGGAAAATGAACACATTATCCCTGTTGTTCCCAAGACAGCCATTGAGATGGCATCATCATAGGGAAGGGAAAACAGGGTGGTTGTTGTGGAGGTTGTTGAGGGACTTGATGTTCATCACTTCTCAGCTTGTCTTGGTGAGGTGGGACTTCATAAATGTTGTCATCAGATGGAACCAGAGATAGATGCCGATGGCTATCTGGAGATGGCATTCTCGGGATTGGTGACAGACAGACCAAGTGAATGAGTGAGACTCGATGCAAAGGTGATAATAGATGGCCCTGAGGCAACACTTTGGTTCAACCTTGAGATGAGGAGGTGGGTGTCACTTCTGGCAACAGACTATCAGTGTCAGGGTAAGGTGGAGCCCCAACATCTGGGAGATTTTGTCGCTTGATGCCAAGGAGTGTGGGATCAATCTCGATGCTTAGCCTTCTTCCTTGGCTTCTTCAAAAGCAGTTCTGACACCGAACAGGTCAACCCCAGTGACATGGTTAATATCAAGGTTGATAGAGTCAGTGCTGATACTACCAAAGTAGCCCTCAGTCTTTTTGTGGTTTGCGTCCATTTTTCCTCTTGGAGGTTTGGGGCACCCAAAGGTAAGAAGGATTCCTTTAAGCAGTGGAAAGCTAGTCTCAGTGAGGTTGATAAAAGGGAACACAGGCTGTGGCAAATAAAATGCAAGTCTGTGATCAGGCAGGCAAAAAGGGAATATGAGGAGCATATAGCAAAAAACATAAAGACCAACAAGAAAACTTTCTTCAAATACATTAGAAGCAAGAAACCAGCCAGGGAGGCAGTGGGGCCCTTGGATGACCAAGGGGTAAAAGGAGTACTGAAGGATGATAGGGAAATGGCTGAGAAGCTGAATGCATTTTTTGCCTCTGTCTTCACTGTGGAAGATGAGAAGTGCTTGCCCACTCCAGAACCGCTGATTTCGGGAGGGGTGTTGAAAGACCTGAGTCAGATTGAGGTGGCAAGAGAGGAGGTCCTACAACTGATAAGACAACTAAAAAACTGATAAATTACCAGGCCCGGATGGCATACATCCGAGAGTTCTGAAAGAACTCAAATGTGAACTTGTAGATCTCCTGACAAAGATATGTAATCTTTCCTTAAAATCTGCCTCCATTCCTGAGGATTGGAAGGTAGCTAATGTCACTCCCATCTTTAAAAAGGGTTCCAGAGGAGATCCGGGAAATTACAGGCCAGTCAGTCTGACGTCGATACCGGGTAAATTGGTGGAAACCATTATTAAGGAAAGAATTAGTAGGCACATAGATGAACAAAACCTATTGAGGCAGACTCAGCACGGTTTCTGTAAGGGAAGATCTTGTCTCACTAACCTGTTAGTGTTCTTTGAGGGGGTGAACAAACATGTGGACAAGGGGGATCCAATAGATATTATTTACCTTGACTTCCAGAAAGCTTTTGATAAAGTTCCTCATCAAAGGCTCCTAAGTAAGCTCAAAAATCATGGGATAGAAGGACAAGTCCTTTTATGGATCAAAAACTGGCTAGTTCATAGAAAACAGAGAGTGAGTGTAGGTGGGCAATTTTCTCAGTGGAGGGTGGTAAGCAGTGGGGTACCGCAGGGATCAGTACTTGGTCCACTGCTTTTTAACTTGTTCATTAATGATTTGGAGATGGGAGTAAGCAGTAGTAGATAACACAATAAAATATCTAGACAGTGTGCAACTGCAATAAAAAAGGCCAACGCTATGCTGGGGATTATAAGGAAGGGAATTGAAAACAAATCTGGCAGTATCATAATGCCCCTGTATAAATCCATGCTGCAACCTCATTTGGAGTACTGTGTACAGTTCTGGTCACCACACCTCAAAAAGGATATTATAGCATTGGAAAAAGTGCAGAAAAGGGCAACTAGAATGATAAAAGGGTTGGAACACTTTCCCTATGAAGAAAGGTTAAAATGCTTGGGGCTCTTTAGCTTGGAGAAACGATGGTTGAGGGGTGACATGATCGAGGTTTATAAGATTATGCATGGGATAGAGCAGGTAGAGAAAGAAGTATTTTTTTCCCTTTCTCACAATATAAGAACTCGTGGGCACTCCATGAAATTGCTGAGCAGTCGGGTTAGAACAGATAAAAGGAAGTACTTCTTCACCCAAAGAGTGATTAACACATGGAATTCACTGCCACAGGAGGTGGCGGCGGCTACAAGCATGGACAGCATCAAGAGGGAATTAGATAAGCATATGGAACAGAAGTCCATTAGTGGCTATTAACCACAAGGTATAGATAGGAACCCTAGGGATGCTCTGTATTCTTGGTGCTTGGGAAGGGGCAACAGTGGGAGGGCTTCTAGTGTCCTGGCCCCACTGGTGGTCCTCCTGATTGGCACCTGCCATTTTTGGCCACTGTGTAACAGAGTGGTGGACTGGTCATTGGACTGATCCAACATTGGCTTCTCTTATGTTCTTAAGCCTTCTCCCATATGTTCTGTTATGTACTTAAGCCTTTTATCTAGCTGCACTACCCTCTCTTGTTTTCAGGGTGAGGCGGCAACAACCTGGACACAAAGTAGTTATTGTGTCCTTCACCCAAACACAAAAGTCATGATTTATAGTCATTGTTTTGGGCCATTTTGGCCCCACACTCCTCACACTTTTTGAATACAGCCATTTGTAGAACAAGCAAAGGAGAAAAGTAAGGCTCAAGCTCTCCACACAGTTGGGAAACGAGAACTGATGGGGGAGTGCTTGCCCTGCCCCCATCACATGACTCTTTGGCCAGGAAAAGGGATACACTGAAATGGGGCAGGGACGAGCACTCAAAGGCTCTAGAAAGATCTCTGTAAAGCTTGTTGTTAGCTCTTCCGCGGCTGACCTGTGACTGTGCAGTCCCATGTGGGACTGTACAGAAGTACGACAATGAACAGAAGGAAACAGGAAGCAACAGGAACTGCATTTTGACAGAACAAAAACTGACAGAACAATTTAGAATATGTTAACTCCCCTTTGCAAATTAAAAATATGGAGTAAAATAATTATAATTGTTTAAAACTTAGCAATGTTTTCCCTATAAAAGTAGAATGCCCTAGACTGTAATGGAGCTATAGCAGTATGTTGTGAATATGGTCCATGTTCCATCACCAGTCCATAAACTTACTGGCCCAAGCGCAAAGAAAGTTAGCCATGCATGAGGTCCATTAAATGCAACAGGACAAGTTAGCTGCAACTAAGTTAATTCCATTTGTTTTACTTCAGAGGAATTTACAGGCTGCAGTGACACATACTAAATCGTCCACTTTCAATCCACTTTCAGTGTACTTCCCAACTGGATTTTACTGTGTGCTAACTGGCAAAATCGGAAAGTGCATTGAAAGTGGATTGAAAGTGGATTATTTAGTGTGTGTGACCACAGCCACCGTTTCATCCCAAACAAAAATACCCTTTTGTCCACTGAAATCAATGATCTTTGAACAGCATAACTCTGCTTAGGATGGCACCGTTAGTGACTAACATTCTCCAGCTGGGGTTCATTGTGTATTTCAATATTGTTAGAGTTAACACAGATTGTACAACTACCCCTCAGTAAAATTCCATTGGTTCAAGATGAAAACATCTTTAGAAGTAGTTTGTAGAATTCAGAACAGAGACATGGTTCCCCAGAAAAACTTTAGAAAATATGTCACAACTTCAGAGGGAATAAACCCATCCAAGATCTCACAAGAATTTAAAATACATACCCCCAAAATGAGCATGAATTTTAAGACCAAATTATAACTTCCTTTTTTAACATATTTAATGTGGTAGGAAAATACACAGCTGCATTGTTAGAAGAGCTAATAATTTATTAAAAATAAATGTTCTTATATCCCAATCAGTGATACTGCAGTATTTCAGGAAAGGCATCCCAAATGCCCTTTAGAAAGGCCTAAGCACTCTGTTCAAGTCCATCACTACATAAATTTGCCCAAGTTTAGCATGACAGATCTGTGGCTATCCTCCTTGCCTTCCAGTGTGTGGGAGGAAAAGAAGAGGGCACCTAATTCAGTCTTGGTGTCTACCATCCCCACAAAGCAGGCTGCCAGCACTACTAGAACCAACAATGCTGTAATAATCTTATTTAGCCAATGGAAGAGTAGGGAGAGAATACTCATGCACACCAGTTGGCATATATGCTACTGAAGTGCACAAACATTACAGGGTAAGAGCTGTTTAGAGGCAAGCCATCAGTTAAGAATAAAAATATGATATGGACTGTTGAGCTTCCCAAGAAACCAGTTTGTTATACAAAATCCCACTTGAAATCCAAGATAACAAGATCCTAGGAGTCTGGCTTTCAAGTTCCATAAAAATATTTTCCACTTGATTCTAGCAATGCCTTCTGGTGATAGCACTTTGTGGATTTTTTTTAAAAAGACAGATAACATACAACCCATATGGTGCTACTACAGTACAACCCAATGCAATGCCAAAATTATACAGCAGACAGTTCCTATATGCTAACTCATTTTATGGAGCCCTGGTCACTGCCTGAAGAGCTGATGCAAACTGGAGTTCTATTGAACCATTGCAGTAAAAAACAAAACTTCTCTAGCCAAGAGCTATTGTGTTTGTTTGTTTGTTTGTTTTAAACCATTTGTTCCACTTGGAGTGGTCCCACACTGTCCCTCTACTCACATTCCACTGCTGAGCATGCTCATAGCAGTTATGATGATTTGATAGTTTCTTGTGAAGCTGCTGGATAGGCTTTTTGCTTCCACAATGACGCCTACTGTAACAAGCTTTACAATAAACACTGTTGCATTCTGAGTTCTTCAGAAACCTGTTTGAGTGCAGGCTGAGTTCAGAAGGATTGTCTTTCTGCTGTGCAGTCATACATGGCCTTCTGATTCTTTACCTTCAGTCACTGTCCTCTCTAGCCCAATTTCAGAAGATGCTGGGTCTTCCTTCTCTCCTGTGGTTTTACTGGCCTCTTCCTGTAATCAACGGTAAATATACTTTGTGAGATTAACCAAGGGGAATAAACACAAAGCACAAATTTTGAAAAAATTTAAAATGTTCAACTCCAAAAGGATAATGTAGAAAAAAAATACTCCATTACATAGCTGTTAGTAGTAAAGTTGAGCACAAGAGACTCAGAATAGGAAATGCAAGGAAAGCAGTAAGATTTGTCCAACCTCTGAACTTTCTATATGGGAAGGACTGGAAGGATAGGAAGGGAATGTGTAAGCTATCCAATTATTCACTTTGCATATAAGAAGAACTCAGATAATAGAGGAAACATGTATACTCTCAATGGCCAGATTTTTATCCGAAGCCTTCTCTCCCCCCAGAAAAGTCATTTCTACATCCATAGGCAATTAGTTACATAAGAGTTGCACTAATTTCATTACTACTCTTGAACAACAGATGCAAGGCAAATGCCAAGGTTTTGGGACTAGTACCAAATTAACTATTTCCTACACTAAACCACAAGATGAACATGCCCAGGTCTAGAGTCCCACATATTCAGACTCATTGGTTTTAATGTGACTTAAATGTTTAACATTCCTTGGACTATATCATTTCATGCCAAAAAGGGGAAAGCTCCAATAATGGAATGCTTCCCCATGCAAAACAAAGCTTCTTCTCTTGTGATATGCCAGAAGTTATGAGCCATCTCCTTCCTGTACTGTGCCAGTGCAGCCTCTTCTTAAGAAGCAGCCCAGAAATCTCCCACCACTGCTGTTAGCTCCCCAAGAGGTACCATCTTCAACTGACACAACCAGTCTGCTCATCATCTGTAATGTGTAAATGAGGCCAGAAAAGCTGAAGGGGAGGGGCAGTCTCCCCCACAAGTGGCTTGGAACAAGAGTGAACTGCAACATCAAGGAGAAGGGTTCCAATTTAGATTTTTCTGAGACATGCTCGTTCAGGAAACATTTTTGTATGGAAGGCGCATTCTCCAGATGCAGCCTGAAAACCAAACTACAAATTGCATCGCAAATACTTTAGCCCTAAAATGTATGGGGGTGGGGGGAGACAAGAAGGTGATTTGGATTGAGACTAGGGCACTGGGGAAGAGATTAATGCTTCCCCCCCCCCCAAGCTACTTTTGGCTACAGGTGGAGAAAAGGCAGGCATTAAATGGCTGTCTATCTTTTCACTACAATCACAGCTAACCATAGCTCAGGAAGCTGATTCCCATTGAAGAAGTAGTATGTGGGGAAATGGATAATGGTTAATTCCCTCCAGGCATATGGATGTGTTTTAAGACTGAAAAGCACATTGGGAGATTAGGGATCATGATCCCCAATGTCACCTATACTTTGGCTAAGAAGTGGTAGAGCCCAATGAATGTTTACTACCTCAATGAGAACCTGAATTGTAAGAACATCAGCGCACATCTATTACAAGATATATACCTGTATATTTCCACCACTAGATTTTATCATCAACCTTGCCAGAAAGAAAATGTTGAAGGATATTTTATATTCTCCAGTCACTAAGTTATGGGAAACAGACTATATAGTTCTCACATAAAAAGGTAAATTATGCCCAGTCCTGGCTGGAAAAGATCCATATTGAAACTGCTTTTTCAGACAATTATTTAGTGATTGTAGAAGTGATTACTACAGTTTAAAAACCAAGGAAAAACTGGATGACAGAAATGAAATATTTTGCTAGGTTTGGAAGCTCCTGATTTATTTCTACACAGATGTTTTGCTCTGCCTTGGCTTCCTGACAGCAGTCCTGTTTTGGGGAGCATCCACATAATGTTCCTCTCTGTTCAACTTGCCTCTCTGTTTACCCCTAATTCACTATGACCTTTTTGGAAAGATCACAGTCAAAGCATCTTTGGATACTGTGTAGATAGGAAGGTTTACACTTTTGCAGGTCACTGACTACACCAGCACCATTTCCCTTACTGTAGACCCAATGTTTGTCACTCCCCCACTGAAGAGCTTTCTTTGGGCTTTAAATATATATATATATTAGTAGTTGGCAGATCGCTACAGCATAGTAATAATATTATAACAATCTATAGCAGCCTGAACACTTCCCCTTAGAACTACAAAACAAAAAGAGATAGTGTCTTGCTTTAAAAAAATGAAATTTGGGAATTAGTACGTCATTGTAACAATTCATTATGTTACTGAGGTATAATTACTGGTTTGAAAGAATGCCTAAAGTGTGAGAAACAATAGACACAGCAGGGAGTAAGGTAAGGAAAGACCAGAAAAAAAACTGCTAGGTGGAAATGCCATTGTCAGTGTGGAAGCCTTTGCATTATGAGCAGCAATGAGAGCTACACTGAGACAGTGCCAACGCCTGCTCAGCAAGAAAGACTCCAGTTCTGGTTCACAACAAGTCCAAGAAGTTAAATGGATTGATGTTAACAGTGAATCAGGGATCATCATTAAAGTTGAATGTTAAATCATTCCCATGTAACATCTTGTTGTTCCAGTTCTGTTAAAGCATGGTTTAACATCTTTGGATTAAGGGCTGGGAAATCCTACTGATCACTCTACAAGTTTCTCCCTCTTGAAAAGGGGTAGGTACTCTTGGCATAATACATTCTTTGCTTTTACAGGAAGTTTTGGCTCTGTGCTCTACAGAATATCATCAGAAACACTAACAAAGCATTCCAATTTCATTTCATAATATAATTTCAGTAATTTAGTAAGATAGGGGTTGTCAGTGGGTGGAAGAAAGTTTTACTGGCATAGTGCAAACCTTTGCATCTCTCTCTGCAAATTTCTTGAACATGTTGGCATAAATCTTTCGGTCACGATCATTGTGTTCCTTCGTCTTCTTCTGACACACTGTGATCTGCGACTTTGCTGCCTTGTTTTGTGGATTCACATCTAGAACTTTTTGAAAGTCACATCTTGCCAATTCAAATTCATTCATGAGTAGTCGTGCTTCACCTCTTCTATATAAGCCCTTTTCGTTGGCCTGGTCCAGTGCCAATGCCTGCAAACAGATAAGAACATAAGAAGAGGCCTGCTGGATCAGATCAGTGTTCCTTCTAGTCCAGCTTCCTGTCTTGCACAATGGCCAGCCAGTTCCTCTGGAGGACAACAGGGCATAGAGGCAATCTTCCCCTTACATTGCCTCCTGGCACTGAGATTCAGAGGCTAACTGCCTCTGAATGTGGAGATTCCCCTCAGTCACCATGGCTAGTAGCCACTGATAGACGTATCTCTCCATGAATCTATCTAATCCCCTTTTCAAGCTGTCAGCTGTCGGTTCCTGTGGCCATCACTACATCCTCTGGCAGCAAATTCCACATTTTAATCACTCTCTATGTAAAATTGTGTTTCCTTTTGTCTTCCCTGAACCTACTGTCCATCAGCTTCATTGTATGCCCTCAAATTCTAGTATTTTGGGAGAGGAAGGAAAATTTCTCTTTGTCAACTCTCTCTACCTCATGTGTAATTTTATAAACCCCTATCATGTCCCTCCTTTAGCTGTCTGTTTTCTAAACGGAAAAGTCCCAGACTCTTCAGCCTTTCCTCATAGGGAAGGTGCTCCAGCCACTTAATTATCATAAGAATATAAGAACATAAGAGAAGCCAATGTTGGATTAGGCCAATGGCCCATTCAGTCCAACACTCTGTGTCACATAGTGGCCAGAAATACCAGGAGCCATTAGGAGGTCCACCAGTGGGGCCAGGACACTAGAAGCTCTTCCACTGTTGCCCCCCCCCCAAGCACCAGTGAGGATTGTGAGGCACTCCAAAGGGATCTGTCAAAGATGGGCAAGTGGATGTCAACATGGCAAATAAATATAAATACACATTGATGGGGTCTGAACTGGCAGAGACTAAAAGAAAGATCTTGGAGTTGTAGCAGATAACTCACTGAAAATGTCAAAACAGTGAGCAACTGCAATTAAAAAAGGCCAATGCTATGCTGGGGATTATTAGGAAGGGTATTGAAAACAGATCAGCCAATATCATAATGCCCCTATATAAATCAATGGTGCGACCTCATTTGGAATACTGTGTGCAATTCTGGTCACCACACCTTAAAAAGGATATTATAGCTTTGGAAAAAGTGCAGAAAAGGGCAACTCGAATGATAAAAGGGTTGGAACACTTTCCCTATGAGGAAAGGTTAAAGCGCTTAGGGCTCTTTAGCTTGGAGAAAAGACGACTGAGGGGTGACATGATCGAGGTTTATAAGATTATGCATGGGAAAGAGCAGGTAAAGAAAGAGGTACTTTTCTCCCTTTCTCACAATACAAGAACCCGTGGGCACTCCATGAAATTGCTGAGCGGTCGGGTTAGAACGGATAAAAGGAAGTACTTCTTCACCCAAAGAGTGATTAACACATGGAATTCACTGCTTGGTGCTTGGGGGGGTCAACAGTAGGAGAGCTTCTAATGTCCTGGCCCCACTGGTGGACCTCCTGATGGCACTGGTATTTCTGGCCACTGTGTGATACAGAGTGTTGGACTGGATGGGCCTTTGGCCTGATCCAACATTGGCATCTCTTATGTTCTTAAGCACCAAGAATACAGAGCATCACTTGCCCCAGACTTCCTATCTGTACCTTGTGGCTAATAGCCATTGATGGATCTCTGCTCGATATGCTTATCTAATTCACTCTTGAAGCCGTCCATGCTTGTAGCCGCCACCACCTCCTGTGGCAGTGGTTCTGGACCCCTCCCAAAATCAGTGGTTCTGGAGTGGGCAAGCACTTCTCATCTTCCACAGTGAAGACAGAGGCAAAAAATGCATTCAGCCATTTCCCTATCATCCTTCAGTACTCCTTTTACCCCTTGGTCATCCAAGGGCCCCACTGCCTCCTTGGCTGGTTTCCTGCTTCTAATGTATTTGAAGAAAGTTTTCTTGTTGGTCTTTATGTTTTTTGCTATATGCTCCTCATATTCCCTTTTTGCCTGCCTGATCACAGACTTGCATTTTATATGCCCCAGCCTGTGTTCCCTTTTATCAACCTCACTGAGACTAGCTTTCCACCACTTAAAGGAATCCTTCTTACCTCTTACAGCTTCCATTAGCTTGTTTGTTAACCATGCATGCTTTTTTCTACACCTATCTGTGCCTTTTCTAACCTGCAGTATATATTTTTTCTGAGCTTCTAGGATTGTAGTTTTAAATAGTCTCCAATCTTCCCCAGTGGTTTTGACCCTTTCTACTTTTCCTTTCAGTTTTTTCCTCACATGTCCCCTCATATCAGAGAAGTTACCCTTTTTAAAGTTAAAAGTGGTTGTGTCAGTCTTTCTGGGCAACTCCCTATTTATACAAATGTTCAACTCACTGTTCCTAAGTGGTGCAATCACTTTTACATCTCTCACCAGGTCTTAGGCATTACTTAGGACCAAATCCAGGATCGCCTCTCCCCTGGTAGGTTCTGTGACCATCTGCTCCATAGCACAGTCATTGAGAGTGTCTAGAAACTCAACCTTTTTTTCTCGACTTGAACACATATTGACCCAATCAATGTGTGGGTAGTTAAAATCACCTATTACGACACAGTTATTTCATCTAGCTGCTATCTTTAATTCATTCATCATTTTATAATCCTCCTTTATCTTTTGATCTGGTGGGCGATAACAAACTCCCAGTGTTAAGCTTCCTTTTGGGCCCACTATTTCAACCCATAGCATTTCCAGAAGCAAATCCAATTCACTTACCCTCTCAATCTTACTAGACTATACGCCCTCTCTGACATACAGAGCCACCCCACCTCCAACCCTTCCCCCCTATCCTTCCGATATAATTTATAACCAGGAATCACCATATCCCACTGATTTTCCTCATCCCACCAAGTTTCTGAAATACCCACAATGTCTATTCCCCCCCCAACACCAAGCATTCCAACTCCTCGATTTTACCTCAGAGACTCCTAGCATTTGTATATAAACATCTATAATTTCCCTTACATGTTAAGTCCACAACCTTCCTCTTGCTGCCTCGAGACCTTGCCAGGCAGTCCATATCATTAGCCACAGTCTAACCTGTGAGATGCATTTTATCTGGGCCCCAGAGAGCACTGTGATCAGGGATCCAGAATCGACTGGTTCTCCCGAGCATTAAGGAGGCCAGGCTGGCGACAACCAGGGCCAGGTCTTTTTCGATGGTGGCTCCACTCTGGTGGAATGAGATCCCAGAGGAGACCAGAGCCCTGCGGGACCTCTTACAGTTCCCCACAGTTGTAGCTATTTATTGGTGTGTCCACCTACTGAAGCCACTGCAGAGGACTGCAGTGGTATGGCTGGGGAAAGCAGCATCCCTTCCTGGTGTGCACATGTGGAAGTGTGTTCAGTTCATGCACAGTGACTATTCATCTTAGTGAATATTCAGATTACAAAGGTGAATTTCTAGACATGCTGTATTTGTTATCATCAGTCAAAGTACCCTCATCTTTAAATACCATTTCCTGTTGAAAAAAACACTTGAACCTCACAACAATGCACATCTTCTAAGCACAAAATTTACATGGCATAGTGGCATTTGATTATCATTACCCATCATAAGCATGTTCTCTGTTCTTTCAGAGTCCAGCAGAGAATGTTAAGACTAACAATGCGAATATGTGTTGCATAATGCTTAGTGCCAGACAAGGCAGGGCAAGAACCATGTTCAAATACCCAATTAGCCTCAAAACTTCATGGAGTGGCCACCATTTCTCAGTCTAACCTACCCCTCTCAAGATTGTTGTGAGGATAAAGAGAGGGACAAAATGGATTTTGTACCTAAAACTAATGGGAAATACACATTATAGATGAAAAGTCATCTATAGCTCCAAAGAGAACATTCCAGAAAGAAATATGATACAGAGACTGAATGCAAATGGATATTATGCTTAAAGCCTCCAAACGGAGGCCCCAAAGAGCACTAACAGGCAATGTTTAGAGTATGACTCACAAACCCCAGATATTTATAGTTTCAGCAGTAAGTACATGCCTTACTTTTTACATATTTCGTCTCATCAATTTAAATGTTCTCATTTTTAACACTTTATTTCAGCTGTGCTGCATTCAAACACTCACTTCTTAAACATATAACAACATCCACATGCTGCTTTTCTATATTTCTGTCCAAAACCAAGAATGTAGATGATTTGAGAAATATGCATAGCTGTTGTTAACCAAGACAAAATACACTAGAAAAAATTCATTCCATACTCCTCTGAGGAATCAGAGCATTGCCTGCAAAAGTTCTTTCAACAAGAATTTTGTACTGGTTTCACATGAATGTAACAGGATTTTGATAGACTACCACACTGTTCAACTGTTTTCCTGGGAAATGTGTATTCAGTAAAGTCATACTAACATATCCCAGGTGTCTTGTAGCCTTCATTTTCCATAGTGTAAGAACATATACTTTCTGGGGACGAGAGGGGAATTCTAGGAAAAGATGTTCTGTAATGTGCCTATCAATGAACAGAGCAGAAGTGAGGCAATTTAATAAGGAATTCTGATCTCCAGTTCAATAATCTTTACCTCGTGTATGCACGGAGAGAATTAAAGGATGTAGAATAGGTCTGGGAGGGAAGGCAGCATGGTATAGCCCAGTCTCCTCAGATCTTGGAAGCTAAGCAGGGTCAGTGCTTGGACAGGAGACCTCCAAGGAAGGCTCTGCAGAGGAAGGCAATGGCCAACCACCACTGCTTCACACTTGCCTTGAAAGCCCCTTGCTGGGGTCACCATAAGTGGGCTGCGACTTGATGGCACTTTACACACACACACACACAGACACACACAGAATAGGTCTTGTTCACCTGGGGTAACAATGCAAATTTGTTCTTATTCCCAAATGCAGACATTTTAGCAAGCATGTATCTGGATAGGAATATTCACTAATATTTATTTCTAAATCTATCACATTAAGTACCGGTATTTATTTATTAGAACATATATACCCCCCTCCTTTCCTCTTGGTTCAAGGCAGTTTACGATAACAGTTAAAACATTCAGATGAAAACTAGCAAGGTATGTCCCTAATAGGTAGAACAACTTTGACCATAAGAAAAGGGGGGGACGGGGGGGACAGATCAGGACCAAACTACCAGCAGCCCTCCCAATGCCCAGATGTACCCATTTACCTTATTGCAATACTCAATAGCTTTAGCATAGTCCCGTAACTTCAAGTAGCACATGGCAAGGTTGAGGAAGGCTGCCAGCAACAAGGACTCTGATGCTTTAGATTCCCTTTCTGATAAGCCATATTCCATTTCTAGCCAGGATACAATCTTCCCATACTGAATCACTGCCTGAGGGTACTTGCCTTCCTAATAGGGGGTAAAGAAGGTCACGCCTATTAAAGGTATTTTGCAAAATGTAGTATATTTGCATCTGAAAACACAGGTTACAATTTGAACTATCAACAACATCAGAAGATGGATGAAGAGGATTTTCAGAGAGGCTGAGCTGCGACATGAATGTGATACACAAGTTGATACAGCTTCATAGAGTCTACATTCATAAGAAGATAAAAGGTGTAAAGAGTGACAAATAACCTGGTATTGCCTCACTTTGTAATAACACCACTTGCCTGGCAAAAGCCACTCGAAAACCCTCCAAATCAATCCTTACTGTACCTCATATCTCCCTTTACCTAACCTCTCTCCAGTTTACAGGAAATTCCAAGCAGGGAATCCCACATTAAAAGGCAGGAGAGAGGTAGCACTGGTACTGCTGGGAAACACTTAGGTCACTTACATATGGGTTGCGTGCCCCGGCTTGGATACCAGTGGAAAGTAGAAGAAGAAGAGGAGGAGACTGGATTTATACCCCACCCTGCACTCGGAGTCTCAGAGCGGTTTACAATCTCCTTTCCCTTCCCCTCCCCACAACAGACACCCCGTGAGGTGGGTGGGGCTTGAGGACTGCTCTTGAGAGAAAAGCTCTGAGAGCACCAGCAGTTGCAAGTGGAGGAGTGGGGAATCAAACCCGGTTCTCCCAGATTTGAGTCCACACTCTTAACCACTACACCAACCTGGCTCCTTTCCCCCTGGCTTTCCCACAACATTGTGGTATTTCCAGGTACCCTGTGGGTTCCCCACATCTTTCTTGTGATCTTTCCCAAACCTAGTTTGTTTCAATGTTTTGGGAAAGATCATGGCAAAACCAGGATGGCAACCATGTGGACAAGAAAGTCTAGGGATTCCTGGTCCCAATTACAACAGTGCCATTTTCCCTGCCTCATTCCCCCATGGAGGCCATTTCCCCTGCCACTGGAGGGTTTTAAAAAAGAGGGGGGAAATCAGTATTATAATGTAACAATCTATCTGCTAGTTGCGCTGAATTCCTGGCTTTTATTATTTAAAAAAGTATCTTGCCCCTTTCATTCCAGAGACATAAGGCGGAAGCATATCTCCACAACGAGAGGAGCTACAGATTTACATTTTTAAAATGAAAACTGGGAATTCAGAGATGGACATATTGTTATGCTATAATGCTGTAAAAGCCTGCAATAATGATCTATCACCGAACACCAATTCTATGGGCCCCCAAACAGGTTGCCACCATCTCCTCCATTGTTCTCTTTCCCACCATAGAGAACAATGGAGGGGATGGGGCAATCTGTTTGGGGGCCTGTAGAATTGGACCCCCTGGTCCAATGTTCTTGAAACTTGGGGGGTACCTTGGGGAGAGGCTCCAGCAGCTACCCTGCATGTTTGGAGCCTCTCTCTCAAACCACTTCCCCTCCAGCCCTCTAGAATATACCCTATGTTTTCGCCATTGACTTCCGAGCCCGAGTATGGGCAGCCAGCAGGGCTCTGACTGGCCAGGGCCTGGTGCGCCGCCGGGGGCCACTGCAGGTGGGCCACGGGCTGCCAGATGTGCCCGGCCAGGAAGCCGGTCACAGGCCATTCCGTTGCCCCTCAACCCCAGGGGCTGGTGAGGGGGGACAAAGCGGATGACCGGCCGCCTCTGTCACGTCTTTCTAGGGTTCGTTGTCTTCATTCTACAACGGGATTTGTGCCTAGTAGGATATAATACAAAATACAACATCTATACATACAGTACATTACAATTACAGTTACAATTTCACAAAATTAAGCAATTTGGTTACCAAATATATATTAGCTGCCTAAAACAGTAAATTCATTTAATACCACCCAGGGTTACAGATAAAAACTTTGCCACTGCCAATGTCACATTTGGATCAGTATCTGCTAAGAGATTAGCCACAAGTTCCTGATTAGTAGCAGGGCTCCATTTTTGAATATACACTGAGATTTTGTATTCACTTACTGTGAAGCTTCCTTTCTTGGTCGTCTGGGAGTGGGGCAGTCCTTACTCTTGGGAATAGGCTCCTCCTCCGGAACAGGGTTGGTTTCCTCAGATCAATCCAGGAAGGGAAGAGGCCTATCCCCTGGGAACATCCCAGTTATCTCTAAGCTGTGCACCCCCCAACATCACACCAAGGAAAAGAAAAACACTTCTCTCCACCATAGTGAAACTCAATTTTCGGAACAATCAGCCCTGGAGACGGTAGGTACAGTGGCCACCTAGAAGTCTGTGCACTCGTTTACTAGATGATATAGAGTAGAGAAGCTGACCTTGGCTGCAATGGCTTTTTATTATAAACCAGAAGCTGGGGCACACTGCTATTTTATGTCCCAAGAGTAAGGACTGCCCCACCCCCAGGACCACTGGAGAATGGTAAAGAAGTCCATTTCCATCATCCTGTACCTTTTGCAGACCTGTTGAAAAACCAGCTTGCAGAGCATCCATATGGACTGATCTAATCTCCATCTACTCAGCCAGCCGTGAATGCACTGTCCTGGCCTGCCACCTGGACCACCTCCAGTGACTAGCTGGATCTCTGCCCATCTGATCAGGTTGCTTGCTTCTGCGCATAAGGTCCAAAATCTGGTTCCTTATGCCTTTGTTGTCATATTGCCTGTCTGGACTAGAACGTGATGACCTGTTAGTATCTCGGAGAATTCCAAGAGCCCCAGCCTGGTGGCTCTGAGTTCTAAAAACTGAGACCAAACTCCTTGTGTCATTGTCCCTCTTTAGATTTCAGATTAGGGATCCCCATTGGAAACAAGAGGGTTTCAGCCACCACTGCAGCTGATGCTGAAGTTGTTTTGGTAACTGTACCAGCTTGTAGCCCTAACTGGCCACCACATCCTGATAAGAAGGGAAAATGTCTGTAGAGGTCGGGCCTGGAACCTTGACAATTGAAGCACTTCATGGCATGATACCATCATGCTTGGAAGCTTGGCCAGTACCTTCCCCTCTATCTTGCATTTTTTCAGCCTGTCCATGGTCAGAAGTTGTATGTTGTCTCTCCCAAGATAGAGAAACCCTGTCCTTCATTGTGCCCAGGTGTACTAATAATTGAGAGGTGTTTAAATTGCCCTTCTCCATGTTAACCACAAAAGCATGGTCCCTAAAAAAAATTCACCACCATCTCTGATGCTTCCCTGCTTTGCTGGTAAGAAGGTGCCTTGACCAGGATGTCATCTAGAGATGGTGATAATGACACTCCCTGAAGTCTCAGATGTATTACAATGGCCACCATGATCTTGGTGAACCCTCTTGGGAATGACTTCAGGCTGAAAGGCAGCGCTGGTACTGAAAGTGTTTCCCATCATATGCGAAGCGTAGGCACCTGTGGTGAGCCTCTCAAATTGGAACATGTAAATAGTCCTTCCATAGATAGATGGATGCCAGGAAATTCTTTGCTTGAACATCTGCCAGAATGGAGTTCAGCGTTTTCATCTGAATTTTCTAGACCTGATGCAGTTGTTAAGCCATTTCAGGTCCAAGATTTTCCTGGCATCCCTATTCTTCTTTGGCTCTGGCCATGATATACTTTTGGAGTCATAACAGGACTTTTTTTTTAAAGGTAGAACATACCTTTATATTCAATAAAATATCTGTTGAGTCCATCTCCAAATGGTTTATGCCCTTGAAGGGAACTGCCGTCACTTTAGCCTGTGCCACAGAGTCCCTATCCCAGTTCTGAGCCACCTGTTCCTTCTGGCTGCTACACTGCATGGCATGGCTCCAGCTAACTGCTGCAGGATGTCCAGTGAAGTATCTGCCACAATCACTGTCTTTAAGTTCTTTTGGGACTCCACTATCAGCTGAGGCTAGTCCTGATGCCCAAGAATGTGCTGCCCTGGCAAACATCAAGCCTGCTGTTGATGTCCTGATGGAGCAGTCTGAGACTTTGAAGTCCCCTACTGCTAGGGTTTTGGGCAGCCTGTCTGCATCCATAGGTAGAAGTGAGCTGGAGGTCACGCTAGTGCCAGGTTCATCCACCACTGGCACCTTGAGCCTCCTGGTAACCTCTGGTATCAGGGAATAAAGCTTGGAAAAAACACCTGATGGTTAGGTTTTAGATTGGAAGGGTGTTCCCTCTCTGCCTTCATCCTACTATAAAAGGCTGTAGGCAGTTAGAGGAGCAGAGGAGGCTTGCCGTTGCCCACCTCAGAGTAGCAACCGTGGACTTCCTTGGTTGTCTCCCATCCAAGTACTAACCAGGACCTACCCTGCTTAACTTCTGAGATCTGACTAGCGTGGTCGAGTATGGGCCATCCAGGTCAGGGTTGGCATCCCTGCTTGTGGTACTGTCAGTTTGTACAGCATCTGGCCAGATTCCACCGGAAGTTCTGGGTCAAGATCATCATTTTCCTTAGGTCTGGAGGAAATTCTAAGTACTTGGAAAGTAATCTCATGTACAGCTCTTGAGGGAATAGCCAAGACTGTACTGTTGGTACTACTTCCTCTCCTTCCTCCGACCACTCCCATCCTGCCCTGAGGATGGAACTGGGGAGTCTGAGTCCTTCCTGGACTTTTTGCAACCCACTTATGGTAACCCCTTGGGGTTCAGTGCAGGAGATGTTCAGAGATGGTTTGCCTTGCCTGCCTCTGTGTCCCACCTCTGGTATTGTTTGGTGGTTTCCCATTCAAATACTGACCAGGGCCGACCGTGCTTACTTAATGAGCTCAGGCTATCCTGGGCTATCCTTGCTGCCTCTGGGCTATCCTTGCTGCCTCTGTTTCATGGTTCTCCACAGAGCCTTGTGGGGCCTGTGAGGCTTATGATCTGAATAGATCTGACTTGCTAAGTGTACCCCGCCCCCAAATCTGTTATAGCCCCTCTCTGGCAAACAGTGGAGGTGGTGGAAGTGCTATCAAGCAGCAGCCCCATATGCTTTTCAAGGCAAGGGACAGCCAGAGGTGGAGAGCCAACCAGGGCTGACCCTGCTTAACTTCCAAGATCCGATTAAACCGGGCTAGCGTGGCCCATCCAGGCCAGGGCCACTGCCTTCGCCTGCCTCAGCGTAGTGACCCTGGACTTCCTTGGTGGTCTCCCATCCCAGCGTTGGCTGGGGAGGGGACCTCCAGCCGCACACTGGGCCCGGCGGGAGTCTACGTATACAGCCTTGGCTGCTGGGGATCTCCCAGTCCCATCGGCTTCCTTTGCGGTCTGCCGCCGACCATGACTTGAAATAATGAAGAGGGAGGGTCTCTCCCTCTCTTCTTCTCATTCCTGGACCGCTGCGCTCTACAGAGCGCCTGTGAAACACGTCCTGCTCAAGCGGCAGGGCTGGTAAGACTGGGATGTTCCCAGGGGACAGGCCCCTCCCCTTCCTGGATTGATCTGAGGAAACCGACCCTGTTCCAAAGGTGGAGCCTATTCCCAAGAGTAAGGACTGCCCCACTCCTAGGACCACCGGATAATATTTTATGCATTATGCCTCTGCAAGGTCACTTATAGCAGTTAACACAAATAGAAGTCACATTTGCTGATGTTACTGTTTCTAGATATATGTGCACAGACCTTGAAGTACACAGTTCCTTTTTCTTTGACAATAGCAGCCTGCTCAAGTTTCTCTTTGGTGTCCATCTCCCAAGATTCTTTGGCCTGCAGGCAAACAGTTGGGGATAATTAAATACTTACAGCAAGAATACAGAAAAAGAAAATAACAACCTTCATTACAAGAAGCAAGAAGAGGTATTATTGTACACAATCTGTTAAACTTTATCTAGTTTTACAGATTAAGCAAGGGCAGAATATGGCATAAAACACTGTAACTCAGCTTGATATTCTGCTTCCTTTCCCAAATTTGTTACAGATCTGCTTAAAACTTCCTTGAGAATTCAGTCCTTAGGAGGACTGATAGATGCATTCAAGAAAGGGTGAGAAACCTCTGCAAATTTATTTGAAGTTAGAAAGGGTGGAGTAGAAACCAATCAGCAAAGCGTTCCTCCTACAAACATTCCCCAGGATAGAGACTGGCACCACTGCTCCAATGTATGTACATCTTGTTCCTTCCCTGTACTGTACAGACATAGGCACATTCTCCAGCACCCCAAATAGGGCACAGCTTGTTCAGCAGTTCTGCCCTGCCCTCCTTTCAGTACTATTTGGCAGGACATGAACTTTTTTGTCTGCAGCCCAGGAAAAAAAAATTGAAAGGGAACAACACTAGGAACAAGTCTTGGACTCCACCCAAAACAATAAAACAAACTAACACACAAGAACACTGTGATCTTAGTTGACGTATCTTTTTTACCAAGCTTTGTCACAAAAATGCCAGTGCCCCCCCATGTTTTCTTTATAGAAATGATCCTTTGAGTAAGTGCCAAATATGTGCATGTTTTTGACTATTTAAAGAAATTCCAGTTTCACCTTTTCAAAGCTTTTCAGTGTAACTTCATATATAAGTTCAATATTTGGCTCTATGCCAAATTTACGTTTTCCTGCTTCACCAAATCCATATCTGAAATAAAACATGAAAATAGAGCTCAACAGAAATGGCATAGGATGAGGCATTTCATTCAGCATTCTGAATATTCACATTTGTTTGGAGAGAAAGGTGGCTAGCTACACTCTAGGCTCTGGAGACAACAGATGTTACCTAGGAAACCAGCAGCCAAACTAACTCATCTGTGGCAATACACACATTCTCCACACTGTACTGTGCTCAGGATAATTCCCTTTGTGTGCAGATTGGATATTATTATACACTTTACATGCATTTATGTTTCATTAATAGGATTTTTACAAGCTTTTGGGGACCTCTAACAATCACACTGAATATTTCATATACAAAGTTTTAAAAAACATTAAAATCAGTTGTTTTTGAAATGGTGCCTAAACTCATTTTTTCTTCCCTATCCATTAGACATGTTACAGCCAATTATGTTTTCTATAAGGAAAAGGAAAACAACAAAAGCAATGCAAAACTCCCAACTCTAAAGTATAATTTGACACTACTTTTGTGAGATCTGTGTTAAGAATGAAAACAAGACAACTCAGATGCATCACGAGCTTCCTTTTCCATACATAAATTACTTCAGTTGAAACAGGTTTACAAAGAAGCTGTACCAAAAAACCAACAACCCAGATTTTTAACAAGATAAGATAGGAGAAAAATCTAACCGTTCATCTATGCATGTAACTTACGGTGCTCCAATATGCAGGATGCAGTGTTCTCCCCTTTGCATCTTCTCCAGAGCTTTGTCAATTCCAATGGGAATGTCATGGTCTTCTCCTTCTCCAACTGTAAATGCTACATCTCTGCAATCAAACATTCTACCTCCACAGAATCCTTTCAGATGGACTGCAGGCAAGTGAGAAGCATCAATCAAATATTTTGACAGACATTAAAAGAGTATATGACCAAAGTTCAATTTTGCTAGCATTCTTAGGCACCTGAAATAGCTTGGTGCATGAGTCCTAGACAGGGGTCATTTCCTGCAGGAGTGCACAGGAGCGGAGCTCCGGCAGTAAAGAGCCTAGGGAGCGGGCACATGCAACAAGCCCCACCCCCTGCTCCCAGCAGCCCTCAGTCAGAACAAAAAGCAGCCATGTAAGCTGCAGAGCCACCAGCCCCCGGTCCAAAACTGTCCAGTGGCACCTTTAAGACCAGTTTTTATTCAGGTACAAGCTCTCCCTCCACTATGAGGACAGATCTGCACGGTCCCCCCCCCCCAATAGCTGGCAATCCAAAACAGTCCAGTGGCCTTCTGACATGCTTCTGGTGATGTCAGGGGGTGTGGCATATGCAAATAAGTTATGCTAACGAGTTATGCTAATGAACTCCTGCACCTCTTTTTCTACTAAATGACCCCTGGTCCTAGAACACCTAAAAACATATAAGGTCACAATCCGGTTGACAAGGTGACAGCATGTGAGCAATGTTGTGCTTCCTCTCTGGGCCAAACCAAACATGAAAAGATCCAGGGGTCTGACCTGTAAATGCCACCACCAAGCTAAGGGAGCTTATCTTGGATGTGATACCATACACTCCACCCTCTGAAGCTGCCATTTCCTCATGGGGAGCTGATCTCTATAGTCTGGAGATCAGCTGTAATCCTGGGAGAACTCTGGGCCCCACATGGAGATTGGTAACCCTGCCACCAGTCTGGGTCCAGTTGTGCAGCATTTCTGTGTGGCCGGGCACAGTTGTACTGTGACTGCCACCATGCTGGACCCAGTTTGGTGGATAGTGAGTCTCCATCGGTCACCACCATCTCTGTCTTAGGTGAGTCTTCCTTCATTAGGGGCTATTACAGGAGGGGGAGAGGACCCCTTTCCAGTGGTGTTTTGCCTTCAAGTGCACCACTGTTCCACCCATGGCTTTGCTTTACAGAAACCATTACTGTTGTGGTTGCTTAGCAACCTCCAAAATGGAAACTGAGACCTCAGTGGGCATTTTTTAAAAAGAGATAGATGTTGTTTCTATTATTTGGGGGGATTTTAATCCCATGGCATTTTTTTTTTAGATTTTAGATTTCTCTGCAACCTTAGGACTTCCTTCAGGTTTGTAGAGGACTCAGCCATATCTGCCCCTAGCTCTGTTTTACGGATCCATTGATCCATACTCTATGGTCCAGTTTAGTATTAGATATATGGTTAACAGAGTTACATGCGGAATCTGATTGAGCACCTGCCTAAAGAATAAATGAAAGAAATGCATGCAAGAACAAGTACTATTAAAACATGACAATGATTAATCATATCCCTCTAGTCCAAGGCCCAGAGAAAACAAAAGGCAGAATATTTCTCTACTTTAAAACAATTTCACTGGATCTGGACACACTGGGTGTTTATGGGATAACTTCTAATTTAACACTCATTACTGCAATGTTCCCATTCATTTCTGGCATTTACTAGAGCAGTAATATATATTTTTTTAAAGCCAGACATGTGTTACAATTATGCTAGGACATCCCCAAAATACAACTGCAGTAGATGGGCAACCTGGAAGGTGTCTTACATTTTTCAGAGTCTTAATAAAATTCCCACCCATCCAGAATGTTATCTAAAACCATTTGTTAACCAAATGCTCTGGTTTCTTGGTGAAAGTTGGTTTCAATATAATCCTGCTTTCTCCCTCCAAAAGAAGTACATTGTATGATTTAACAAGAAAATGTCAATAAAAGTGTCTTTTTCTGTATTTATTCCTCTCACTCAGAGCTGTTCCACTGGAATTCTCTCCGTCAGAGTTATTGCTAAACTCCACACTGAGGGCAAAATTCTCTTAGAAGTCTACAATTCCCTTGTCTTCACATAGGCTGCAGAGCAGCACATTCCTCCACGGCACTTCTGTCCATAAATTTTCGGTGCTGAGTTAACCCATTTACTCATATAACCATGTATATTTACACAGCTAGATATGAGTCCAGTAGCAACTTAGATAACTATAAAAAGTTGAAGGTATAAGCTTTTGAGAGTCAAAGCTAATGAAAGGAGTTTTGACTCTCAAAAGCTTATACCCCAAAATTCTTGTTGGTCTCTAAGGTGCTACTAGACTCATATCCAGCTGTTCTACTGCAGACCAACACAGCTACCCTCTGAAACTATGCTTACACAGATGCAAAATAAATGACCCATATGCAACAGATGGGCCCAGGACCAAGAACTGGTAGCTTGCGTAGGCTGCTTGGTGAGTTCATGACTGAAATCATATTTGAACTAAGGACTTTCCAAATCACATGTTCAGCTCCCTGGTTTTTTCCCCTCCAGAGTTACCAAATGCCTCAACACACACACAGAACTGTTAAGTCAATGAATATGGTTTAAAGTTTGTAAGAACATTTCATTCCAAATAAACTTTGAACAAGCGCCATATATCTGACTCATAAAATTATATGTAGCAAAGGGGGCTAAGGTATTTTTCAAATGAAATTTAAGATGACCTTTGGCTTAAAATCAATCTGCAACATACGTAGAAAATACACATGGTGTATAATGTGCACTTGATTTTTCTCCCAAATTGATAACATTCACACATAATAAAAATGCACAAAAGGGTCTCAGAGTCACATATAAGCCTCACAGGTGAAAATGCCCTAATGGGCTGCTAGATTGCCTCTGGAGTGAAACTCAATGTAATTTGTTAGTTACAAGCCGCTTTCCCTTATTGGAGCCCCATTCCCTTTGCTATGGAGAAAAACCTGTCTTTCTTATAGCATGTCTCAGGAACTCAATCACCTTCATGGCCCCCAAGCAATCGCTTCCACACGGTGACATCATCATAGCATTCGAAAAAGTGCAGAAAAGGGCAACTAGAATGATAAAAGGGTTGGAACACTTTCCCTATGAAGAAAGGTTAAAGCACTTGGGGCTCTTTAGCTTGGAGAAATGACGTAGTAGTAGTGAAATTTTATTGTATAGCCGTTGGCCATTACAATTTAAAACAATACACAAATCAGAGAACTTACAGCACTGGAATTTGAATTAGATTTAAAATATAACAAGAGGCAGGACCCGCGATACTCGTGTGTGTGTGTGTGTGGGTATTCCCGTGGCTCCCGGGTGGCTCGCCTGCTGAAGCCGCAGGAGCTCCGCACAGAGGAGGACGCGGCAGTGGCTGCAGGTGAGCCCAGCAGACAGTCCGTTGGGCTCGCCAGGATTTCCCCCACCCACCCCACAGCAGTAGCAACGGCTGCAGCTAGCCACCAGCCCTCCAAGGTTCCCCCCCCAGCCACCACGGCCGCAAGCAGCAAAGGCGGCGAGCCCTGTGTGGCTCTTCTCCCTCCCTCCCCCACCGCCGCCGCCAGCAACAACAACAGCAATGCCCTCCCCCCCCCAGTAATGGCCATGGCTCCCAGCCACCGGCTGCCAAGGCTTCTCTTCCTGCGCCACTGCCAGCAGCCACAGTTCCTGTTGGTAAGTGCTTTCTCTGCACATGCACAGGGAAGGCTCTTTTACTTTTGGGGGGATTTAAATATCCCCCGTATACCTTTTTCAACTTTTTAGATTTTTCTGCACATCTGCGGATTGCCTCAAATGTGCAGGACAATGTCCCAGCCCCCCAGGTGCCCCCGATGTGCGGATTTAGATATCCACACGCTGGGGGCATGTTGGGAATCAGATATATAGATATGGAGCAGAGGTCCATCAGTGGCTATTAGCCACAAGGTATAGATAGGAACTCTCAAGCTGGGGCAAGTGATGTTCTGTATTCTTGGTGCTTGGGGGTGGGGGCAACAGTGTGAGAGCTTCTAGTGTCCTGGCTCCACTGCTGGATCTCCTGATGGCTCCTGGTATTTTTGGACACTGTGTGACAGAGTGTTGGACTGGATGGGCCATTGGCCTGATCAGACATTGGCTTCTCTTATGTTCTTATGCTCTTAACATGGGTGGGTGGTTTTTCTTTTCCCTCCTATGTAGTTGGGGAGACAGGAAATGTATGTCTCACAGCAAATGGTCCCCAACTCTAATTTCACTCCTTATTCTTTAAGATGTTAGGGGCTCTTCCACTTTGTAACTGAGGCAGTTCATTGTGTGTGGGAAAAGGGTACAATCAATTAGGATAGAAGAAAATTCCCTTCCACCTGGACTCCTTTAATTGTAAATTATTCATATCTCTTAAAATATTATAGCATCCTGGATTTGGGGGAGGGGGGTATATGCACTTTATGGTAGGTGTTTTTCACCCCAAAAATGTCAGGGATTTGAAGAAGAGTTTTGTGTTGGTTAGGGTCCTTTTTTAAAAAAAAAACACACAACAAAACTGATGTATAACTAATGATCTGTTGCTCGGGCATGGCTCTTATTAGACCGTTTTTGCTTTTCACAGCATACTTTTAATTTAAAAGCTCTTATTAGACCGTTTTTGCTGTTCACAGCATACTTTTAATTTAAAAGCTAAGGCTGAGAGGTACTGAATCATTACGTTTAATCGATCCCCCCCCCCATTTTCTGAAAATGTAGCCACCCTTCTTACAGGTGATTACTTCAGTGTGATAACATCTGGAAGCACGCAGAGCTTCTGGTCCATGATCCAGCTGGGTTGTATAGAGGTTCTACTTCCATAAATGGCATTTTGACATGGGTAGTGTATCAAAAGCCCATTAAAATCCCACAATTTTGACAGCATTTGTTCAAATTGCTTTAATTCCAGAAATTGGAGCAGTTACAGATATACTACCGACACAGAGATGCTCATTTATAGAAACATGCCAGGGTGTGAGCCAGTGTCAACCCACTGGTTACATCGGGCTTGGTTGCCATGGGTGATGGGATGATGCCTGGAATGTTCACTTTCGTTTTTGCTTGCTGTGCCCTCTCCTATCTCCCTAGAAGTAGGTATGTGGCCTTGAGCTCCTGGTG